AAAATAAAAACTATTCAAATACCTATCAACAATAGAAGAGCTAAAAAGATTGTGATATACTCATATATTGCAATACTATATAGAAATGAGTTATTTACAATTATATGCAAACAATAGGGATGAATCTCAGCAACATAATGCTGAATGAAAGAAATCAGATACCAAAATACATCCCATGTAATTTCACTGGAATGAAATTTTAAAACAGGCAAAACTATCACAGATCAAGGCAGTGGTTCTCCTGGAGGGGCCGTGATGGCAGTGAACGGAAGGGGATGCATGGGGGCTCCTGGAGTCCTAGGACGGGTCTGCCTCTTGATCTGGACACTAGGGACGCAAGCATGTTCTGGTAAAGTTGCTGAACAGTTAAGATATGTGCACTGGTCTGTAGGTATATTACACTTTCATAAAAGCTTTAACATGCCTTCTATTTTCTCTGTGCTATTGATTCCTTATACCAAATTAACTGACATATAATCTAGTTTTATAAATAAAGCAAATGTTTACTTTGCCCTTTTTTATAATAATTTCAAATTAACATTTTTTTCCTCAATAAGTATAATTTGTTTTCTCATGAAGAAAAATAAGTTTTTATAAGAATTTTTAATTAGTTCCTACTTCAGATATTCAATCTATGTCTACTCCGGGCACGTGGATTATAATTGCCAAGAATCTATTATAGTGATAACATCTGCAGCATGTCCAGCAGTGCCATTAATAGCTATTGAACTAAATTCATGTTTCCACTGGTTTTTATTTTCAAACTTATCATTTTATAATTTCAAAAAAAGCATAATTATCTGAACGTTTATTTGATGGTTATATACTTACCTCTGGATAACTGCTTCATGAATTCTACGATACATGTAGCATTCTACAAACAGCCATGGTGAGTAGAACCACCTTGGTTTTCCATCACTGTCATTTAAAAGATCCTGTTGATGTTCTAGGTACTGATTCCATATGTCAGTATCAGCAAACTTCTCAACCAAGGGGACAATTGGTTTGTCTGTCTGTGATTCATTCCGTAATTTAGAAAGAAGAGAAATTGCTTTCTTTTCAGCTTCTATGCCTTTCTACAGAAATAGGGAAGAAACATTTACACATATTAAAAAATATATAATCTATATATAAATAATTAAATTTTACATATACTTTATATTTAAATATCTATACATAAATACTTCCTCTAGGGTAGCGCATTTTTATGGGCCTAAACTTAAGAAGGAAAGAAATACTATATTACAAAACTACATCTTATGTGTTCACAAACTATTACAAACATTTAAATTTAGAATTAAGTTGAAAATCAAATCACACACACAGATCTCATATCAACATTATCCTGCTTTATCTATTCTGCCAGGTGTTTTTTTTTTAAGTTTCATCTAATAACTAGAGTCCCTTCATTATCTTCAAGTGGAATGGCCATTATCAAAGAGGGGAAACAGCTTAGTATGTTTGTTAAAGATTTAAGAAAATAATTAAAGTCCAAATACATTTCATACCTCTCCATGTTTCTCAAACATTTCATTTTTATGTCGATGCAATGTATCAATAGCCTTGGTTAAGATCTGTGGTATTCTGTCTTTAATTGTAAGATATGCAAACGACCTAGAAAAAGGAATCACATACATAGTGTATAACTTAGTAGCATTGATACTAGAAGATTGGTCATCTTTTAGTTTCTGGGGCAACTCATTTAAATTAAAATTCCTTTTCATACAACCATTATAAGGAAAATCGGCATTGTCTGGCTACCACTATATGAAGACATAGGAAAATCTGACAGCTTCTCTGGTATGTCATCAAAGCTAGGCAGTCTTTGTGCCTCTAGCCCCAGATTCTCCCCGGAAATCTGTTCAATCCTTACCTTTCCCGATCTATTACTTTTATTCTCCTTAATCATAAACTAGTTTAACGATGTGATAGGACAAAAAAAAAAGAATTACTCTAAAACTCAAACAGGTTCTTCTCCCACATCAATTGCTAAGTGACATCATCTACTTAGATGAACAAGGCCGTGGATGTAAAACGGCTTGCAAGACTCTACTGTATTAGAAAAACAAAGATAGTTATGATCCTGCTTCTTTCTTTTCTCTGTCTTAGCCAATTTTAATTCTTTTTAAAGGCTTTTCCTGCTGCCTTCTCTACCTGCACAATGACTCCTTCCACCCTGTTCTGTCCCTAAGCAAAATTAAGGCATGTTACCAGCTCACACTCCCAACCAAAAAAAAAAAAAAAAGGGTTTTCTAAAAGTGTTAAAGAAAGCTAGATAAGGGAAAACTTGAGTATATTTGCATTTAAAAATTAAACGTAGTCGAGTTTAGACCTACAAACACCAAGATTTACAGATTATCATTTTATATGTAATGAAATACAGCACACAGAAAAAAGCAGACTTTAGCCAGTGGTGAAATTCTGTGCAGTTTTTAGAGAGCACAAAACTTAGCTGATCAATTCACTTACATCACCAGAGACAAAGTAAAAACAAAGAAAGTTGACACAATCATTTTGTAAATACCGATGCCCAAACACCTATTCTAACTTTAACTTGGGATCAGCACAATTCTGAAAACTCAAATATCTCCCTGGCCAGTGTGGCTCAGGTGGTTGGTCCTCGCCCAGATGACCAAGATAGGGAGCGTGCAGGAGGCAACCCATTGATGACGGATGTTTCACTCTCTCACTGATGTTTCTCTCTCTGCCTGTCTCTCTAAAAATCAATTTAAAAAAATATAAAAACTCAAATATCTTACTGAAATTTTTAAAATATTGGGTTATACCCTGAGTAACTGAGGTTTCCTCAAAAGACAACTATAAAACGACAAACAGATGCCCAGCGGGGGTGGCTCAGTGGATGAGCACTGACCCACGCACCAAGCTGTTGCTCAGGGCACATGTCCAGGTTGCAGGCCCAGTCCCCAGTGGGGGTGGACAGGAGGTAGCCCATATCCATGTTGATGTTTCTCCCTCTCCCCTTTCTCTCTAAAATCGATAAGAACATTTTAAGTATAAATTTTAAGAAATCAGAAGACGCCGATTCTGTGTTACTTTGAGTAACCTAAAATGGTTAGGTTATAATATGTGTAATAACCATTGTAATCAGAACTTAACGTTTAAACATCACTAGGAGGCCTGGCACAGTGGGTTAGCGTGCTATCCCAATGTGCCAAGGTTGTGGGTTTGACACCCAGTCAGGGCGCATCCGAGAATCCACCAGGGAATGCATCAGTAAGTGGAACGACTAATCAATGTTTCTTTCTCTCTCTCCCTTCCTCTCTGTCTAAAATCAATTTAAAGAAAATGTTTTTTAAAACACTACTAATTCCCTGGGGGGAGAGAAGGAACATTAAGTGAGTTGACACTTGAATCTTCCCAAGCAGCAGATACAAAGCAGTGCTTTGAGGATTGTACTTAGCTGTCAAGTACATATTGCTATTTTTCCAGCTACTGAGAGTCCTCAGAGGCCTGGACCCGGGTGCAGGTACCCTCCCGGTCAGGGCTCGGGCAGTGAGCGAACACTCCCTCCGGCTGCACCCTCCTTCCAGCCGCACCCCCAAGTGCCCGCTGAAAGGGGGTCCACCGGCGTCCCTCTCTGGCCTCCCTGGAGTAGACCGAGGTCACTTTCTTACGAGTGTTCTTGTGTTTTGCAATATGTTGGAAGAAGGGCGTAACTCAAATAGTAAACGTGACCGTTCAATTTATACCAATGGATTTTTTTAATTTTTTTTTTACGGAGTCCACAACTTTACCTGGTAGGATTCTCAATAGCAGGATTATGGCTTACCCTAACCGGCACGCTAGAAGAAACACATTTGTCCATACATCTGAGATTCCTCTGCAGAGAATTTGAACACCACCTCCCGCGCCCCCGTAAAGAATGTGCGTTTATTGAACCATTAAGCCATGCTCCGCAGCACCCAGAAACGGGCAGGAGGGCGTCGCACGCCCCCCATGCCGTCATGCGGGGTAACACCGCGGCACAGATCACCGTGAGGACAAGGGGGCTGCCCGGTGCGAACGGCCGTTGGGGCACAAAGAACGCCGGCAGAAATCCCGCGGGGCCCGGGGTGGCCTCAGCCGTGAATCCAGCCCCTTCTCCGGTCGGGGAGAGGCCCTTTTTCCACCTCATGTTAAAAGAAGGCAGCGGGACAAAATAGAGTACCACGGAACCTATCCCAGAACGGTGAAGGGAGAGCGAAGAGAGTTGTCCTGATCAGGTATAGCACCGCGTGACAGCGCGGCGGAATGAGCCACCACCGAGG